CCTCTTCATACGTTGATTAATTACATGAAAACAGTTATCTGACACTGACAGCCGTCAGATGTTTTACTGTGGACAGATTTTAATTTCTCTGAGGTCTCTGTAGCATAAGGCTTGAATATGCACTTTAAATATGGCAGCTGACCATTTAGAGCTTGGCTTGCTCTGCTCTACAGGGTCACGGGGGATGTTAGTCACAGGGTGGGTCTTACTTGAGCTTGAGATGACATGGCAGCGAGGCAGAGAACTCAGAAGGGAACAGGTCTTACCCCGTCCTCATCTTCAGCTTCCTTATGTCAGTGGTTCAAAGGGGGTTGTGTGTGTACATTTAATATAGCCATAATTACAGGGAACGTAACAGCTCATTGTTTCATAGACTTTTGTGGATATGTGCATGCAGTTTCTACTAACTGGTAATTGTTCAGATGAAAGTAATTTGATAAAACGTTTTGGCCTGTAGTCAGCATCATTTACACTAGTAATGGTAGCCACTAGACAAGCGTAGTTAGTTCATAGAATCATAGTATGTTTTGGGTTGGAAGGGACCCCTAGAGGTCATCTAGTCCAACCCCCCTGCAGTGAGCAGGGACATCTTTAACCAGATCAGGTTGCTCAGAGCCCCGTCCAACCTGGTCTTGAATGTTCCCAGGGATGGGGCCTCCACTGCCTCTCTGGGCAACCTGTTCCAGTGTTTCACCACTCTTATTGTAAAGAATTTCTTCCTTATATCTAGCCTAAACCTACCCTGCTTCAGTTTAAAACCATTACCCCTTGTCCTGTCATAACTGTCCCTACTAAAAATATTTTCCCCATCTTTCCTATAGGCCCCCTTTAAGCACTGAAAGGCCGCAATCGGGTCTCCCCTCAGGCTTCTCTTCTCCAGGCTGAACAACCCCAACTCTCTCAGCCTGTCCTCATAAGAGAGGTGCTCCAGCCCTCGGATCATTTTTGTAGCCCTCCTCCGGCCCCACTCCAACAGTTCCGTGTCCTTCTTGTGCTGAGGGCTCCAGAGCTAGTTCAGCCTACTGTATGGAAATAAGAACTATATGGAAATAAGAGTTGGTCCAGTCTTGTGCTTTGGACATTCCCTGGTTTATTTTGAATCTTTCTCATATTCCTACATCACCTTGTTGGTTATGAGTGGAATTGATCTAAGTACCAGTAGCTGTGTTGTATGCAGTGCAATATTCTCTCTTTGTATGAGTGACAACTAGGAAAACCCATGGAATTTATTTTACCTAATTTTAGCAGCCTGCAAGGTGCTTGTAGGTAGGCTGCCTCTTCAGCCAGCAGAGAGACGGGGACTGTCACAAGGTGCCATATCCTGTTTGCAGTGCCTGTCTCTTGGCCACAGCCAGGATCCGGCCACCCGATCCGAGCTGTCTAAGGGGAGAGGATCAGTCCCATCCACTGGGAATAATTGTGTTTAACAGTATAGCTGCACTGATCCAAAAAAACTGTAGTAAAGAGACTGCATTGGTGGAAGAATGTAAAATACGTAAGTGCAACTTGACTGTAATTTAGGAAACCAGCTGCCTGCTGGTATATGACTTAATCTTCAGTGCAGTTTAGTTGCAGGGTTGGTTTTTTTTAGTCTTAAGACTAAATTTAATACTATTAAATGTGTTTTTAATACATTTAAAATAATGCAATAACCACGTTGCATGCTGCTTCTCCTAACTTCACTTCCATTTCTCCGCAGTGTTCAGGTGTCATTACTGCAAGGCAGGAGGCAGAGCATCTCGGCTGCTGGCACCATCAGGCTTTGGCAGGCAACGCATGTTGTCTGGGTAAAAAGACGACTGAGGGAATTTAATATTGTAGCATCCATAAAAAATGGGAGCTCTTTATTAAGTGAGACTGTGTAAAGCTTTCTTATGGATGGAATGTACATTAATGCATTTTATTGTTCCATCTGAGCAGATCAAATGATAAGCGTAGTGTCACATACACGTTTGTGACTCTTCTGTTAAATAGGTTTTAATACTTAATGTTTTTATTCTCATGCATTTCAAAGCAGCAATTATTTCCAAGAATAAAGGCAATTTGTCTCGATGCTCTCAGGATTAAAGGGGAAAAAGCTGTATTTTAAGGTGTGTCGCAGTAGATGAGGAGTTCTGCTCTGATGTGCCGTTCCAAGTCCAGCAGCGTGGTAGCTGGTCCCGTACCGCTTCTGCGTGCACCGTCAGTGAGCCTGGTAAGAGTTTCAGCAGCGGTAAGAAGCGTTGCCTGTTGATGACGTTTCAGAGGCACACTCAGAAGCGATGCCAAGGACGGGTCCGGTGGCCGATTTGGCATCGGGGGTAGGTGGGGAGGGGGAGAAAGCCGTAATCTGTCTTGGCTGTGTGTGCGCAGGGTTTTTCGCCTGGCTCTGGCTCTCACACGCACGCTCACTTGTGGGGACATGTGACTTTTGGCCATATTAGCAGGTTTATCCAAGCCTAGCCCCTCTGACTAACAGATGAAGGGAAAAGGGCATTCTGGGATTGCAGCAGTTGCTTTTCAACAACAATGTCCTTTTTGTAAGAATCTGATGCTTCTTAAAAGATGGAACATGACATCATTACCGTCGATCCAAGAAACATTCCTTCAATAATACTGAGTGTGCTCTGGTTATCAGCTCCCTTCCCCCAGCTCCTTTCTCTCGCTTTTCTGACTGATGCTTTTTGTCTATTGTTTCGTCGGGGGCTGTAAATGTGAAACAGTTGTCTTTCAGTGTTATGTGCTTTTTAGAGCTGGAATCAAGTGGAATATTGTTGGCTTATTTGAAAGAAAGAAAGAAAAATAACAAAAACCCCCAACTTTTCTTCCAGTCTTCATAAATGTAGCATGCTTCAGGTACAGGCTGAATTGAAGCTAATTACTTGCCTTCCCACACGGTATTAGTTACTGCGTTATGCAACGGAAGGTGGAGATATCGCAGTCCCGTTCCTGTGCGTCGCGCTCGGCTGCATTGGCAGCTGGGGATGTCGTGTGCTGATGTCGTGTGCTGATGCTGCCTGCTTCGAAGGTTCCTGTGACGATCCTGCATCGATACGAAATGCATGTGTGTGTGCTCATGAGTGCTGTATAGCAGAGTTGTGAACAGCTGCATATCTTCTGTGTATGTGTGTGTATATACGTATTTTTATACTTGGTCCGCCACTGGGATTTGAATATCAGTTTTTCCTTAGCCCCTGAGAGCGGGCTATCATGGAAACATGTTTTGGGTTGCATTATAAATCTTTTTTGAGTGCTGACTGCTTGGAGGAAAGCTATGAAAATGCTGGATTCTGCTTCCCTTCCCTGTGTTCTCTCTCCCACGCTTGTCTTCATCCGAAAAGCTGGAGACTCTTGCAGACTTTACAACTAGGTACGTCTTGGCTGTCTCTCGCACAATCGTGCTCTCCTTGTAGCGGTGCTGGCAGTTATTTGAACTAACAAGGAGCTGGCAGTCTTTGGCACTTTCACATGCTGCAACTGTCTAGAGAAGAGAACCACTGAGCATAAACGTGCGGGAGTAGGTCTCCTTCCCTCCTGGTAGGAATTGCTCCACAGGGAAGGGAAAACAAATGATTCATTGGTGATCTAGAGGCTTGGAGAAAGGTGGAGTTACAGTGTCAGGAAAAGGAGGAAAAATGGACAGGGATAGGGCCTTCTGATAGATTGGTTAAACTCAGGTTTGTTGTCTTTTTTTTCCACTATGAGGATGTAAAACTTTTTTACAAATTTGAGATTATGAAATGTGAATTAATAAAGCACAAGTCTTGGCCAGACAGGGATTTTTGCAAAGAAGTGAGCTGGGTGATTAGCTGTTTGCCAGTGACACAGAATTGTTTTTATTGGTGACAATTGACAGGGAATTGAGAGGAAATCCCAATACGAGGGCTCTTCCTTTAGGAGGGGGGAAAAAAAAAAGTGCATTTTACTTGTAATGGTTGTTTGGCTTCACCTGTTGTAAAGATACAGTAAGATTTTAGCACAACTTGAAAGTATACTTTTATTCTGGATAGCTTCCAAGACACTCTTTGAGAAAGCAAATGCATGGTGCAAACAGAAAGGATTTCATACATTCCCAACAGAGTCTGAAGTTGCAAGTTCCTCTGAAAAAAGCATTTGCCCATGGGCTATTGTAGAAGGCTGTATCGTGTGCTGTCACGACTAAAATGTATGTTTGCATCTGCTGAAGCAGAGTAGAAAGATATGCGTCGTGTGCGGAACTGGGTATCTCCTGTTCTGGATGCTGTTCCTCTAGGAAGGGGGTTGCAAATAAGACTCTGAAGAGCAGGCACTTTAGGATGGAGATCTTGAATTTAGGTAAGAGGAAAAAAAACCCAAACAAAAAGGACCGTGACTTATTTAGTCATGGAAGGAGAAGCTTTAGAGAGGTCTCCACATGCATGCTGAAATGAGTTAAAATTAAGCACTGGCTGCTTCTTGAGTAGAAGAAAAAAATGCTGAATTGAATTTAAAAAATATAAATACAGATTAGTAAATGGGAGTGGTGGTTCATATGCGTCGTACTTGTACCATGTATCTTGTCTTGCAAAGACCATGAGAGATATATAGATACAGAGGGATATATATCTGTAGTTGTATCGTCTGCTTCACAAAGTCCAAACTTTACTTTAAGACACGAGATACTTTAAGATACAAAAAATACTTTAAGACATAGTGGGTGTATCTCTCTGGAGGGAGGGTGTCAAGGTAATAGGGGCTCACTGGTGACAAACTGGTTATCGCTGTAGGTCAGAGAGACTCTGTTGATGGCTCTACAGGTGACTGAGCAGATGCTGGAGCGAGGAATGTGTCTCATTTTGTGTTTTGATTTTGGTTTGTGTTCTGTAGAAATGCTTGACTGCTGTCGCAGTCCCACTGTGACATTATCCCAGCAGATAGGTTGCATTGCTCCACGCGACCGGGATGCTTGCTCTGGAAGAAGTGGAAGCTGCTCCACTGTAGCTTTGTTTCTGCCTCATTGAGAAGAGGATAATCAGTGAAGGATTGCAATTTTTTTCTTGCAGTAATCCATGCTGAAGAGGCTCCATTCATACAGATGAACCAAGGGTTGAGGCAGCACTTTAAACCCAGATAGTCGGTCGGCTAACTGCCCAGCAGGATGCCATCAACCAGCCGAGCGGGCAGCCTGAAGGACCCAGAAATTGCAGAGCTCTTCTTCAAAGAAGACCCAGAAAAGCTCTTCACAGATCTCCGAGAGATTGGCCATGGAAGCTTCGGAGCAGTTTATTTTGTAAGTAGCTTCGTGACTTGTGCATTTTAGCTTTTTATCTTTAAACTGTGGTTGTAGACTTTGAACATATTGAGGGAAAGAACCTACTGCAAATCTTTTTGTATGGTGTTTCGGGCAGAGATGTGTTCTTGTGTGTCTGTACAGTCGCAGTCCTTTCACAGACTCACAGTATCTGTAAGGTGTTTGCATATAAACTGAAAAGAAAAACTGGAAATGTGGCCCTTGCCTGGTGCTTTTAGGTGCATCGTTATGCTGCAAGCAGGGATTTATCTGCAAATTAAAACGTGGACTTCTGCTCCATTGATTCTGACTGGCGATGCAGTTCTCTTGGTCTGATCATCTCCTTATCATCTCTTGTCCCATGAGAGAAATTGAATTCCCTCTCCCTTCTTGCATACCCCCGGGCCCCCCTAAAGCCTTTCTTTGTGTTTGACACCTGAATGTTGGCGCTTTTGTTATCATTTGTCCTGTCACATCCTTCCCTACTGCAGGCAAGAATCCTGGTATTCATCTGCATTAAACTTATTTGACGTGAACGTCTGGACAGCAGAATTTTTCCCAGGCTGCTTGTATAGCTCAACCAGAGGTTGGATGTCTCATGGTAACCTCATTTGCAGGTTGCTGTATGTTAACCAAAGTGCATACTGTGAGACCTTCATTAAAAAACCATTTTCCTCAGAAAACCTTTTCACATTTATAATTATAGGAGGTGTGGCCAAACCTGCCAATTTTCCTTCAGAAAACCATTTGTGTCAGTATTTTATGAGATGCCTATTCATTGTTAATAATTGAAGCAGACCATGTTGGGAACCTTCCAGCACAAATTTAATGCAGCACAGATGAACTAATTAGGAAAAGCTTCTTAATTTTGTTCCCTGCTTAAAACTATGAGCCGCCACTGTCTGGGAACAGATCTGGGGGAGGCAGTGTTTTCTAATGAAACAGTACTCACCTGCAGCCTTCGCTTCATCTCATTTACTCACTTGGGTTAAAGAGTGGATATAAAGGGAGGGAACTGGCAAACCTGTCTTCCCGCTGTGTGGAAATGTTGAAGTTTTTTGGGAATGCTGTGTCTTCTAGAGGTGTATGTGAACCATGCAGGTATGGAAAACCAGCATACGGCTAGAGGTAACCTGCGCGCTGGGGTGCTCACAGCGTTCCCTCACGTCGGCAGGAAGCTGCCATCGTGGCATTTATAGACTGCCTCAACTTTGTAGTTTTGGTAAGGGCTGATTGCCTATTACCAGCTCCTTCTGCAAGGAGATTGAAAGTAAGAGGTCATTAATTCCTAGGCCCTTCTTTCTCTTTTTTTCCCTCACCATTTTAGACTACCCATTCATTAATAGGTTGGTATTTATTCACTAAAGAGTGCGGTTGCTTGACAGTGTTTGGATTGTGCTGCTTTGACAGAAAGCACGTCTAATCTGGCGCTTGCGGAAAGGCAAGCGTAAGCAGTGCATCGCACTACTCCAACCCATTCGGGGGCTTTCCAACAAATAAGATATGCTGTTGCTATTTCTGTGTTACGAAGTTTTAACCTGTAAGTTTTGTGTTGTGTTTTTATTCATATCTTTTTATTAGTAGCAGGTCTAAGATCTTGAATCTGAACCTGTTTCATGTAATGTACTTGATACCTCAAACAGAAGCCCAAAAGATGAGAAAGACAAACTGGAGAGAGAAATTTAGTGTAAATTAAGTAAGCATGAAGAACTGAGGTAGAGGAGGGTACGTCTTGGGTCCTTTATTCCTCTGTAAAGCATCTTAGGAAAATAGAGCATATTAGCATAGGGAAAAAACGTCTCTTAAGTTTCTTTAACAAGATTTTGCTTCTGCTAATGCAAACAAACTTTCTCTAATCAATGTAATATTGGATTGTAGTTAATAACCGCTCAAAAGCGTATTACCAAAGCCAATGACATAGCTGTACCTTTTCTTTGCTTGTGCTTTGCTTGTATCACTGCTGAAGTTTCTCTGGTCACCAGATGTTGATCCTCTGTATGGAATTTTCAGAGGAAGGCAGGATAAATGCACATAAATGGCTGCCATAAAACAAGCCTTGTTCATTTGGATTGTTTAAGTTAAGCCGGCCTGGTAACATCTTCATGGCTTTTTGTTTAGGAACTGTCTTTTTTCAATTATTCAAGATCACAAGGAAACTAAAAAAGCAAATTAAACTCCATGGCCGTAACATTCATGGGGTGTCAGCCGTGATGGTTCTCCCTCTCTCAGCCCTGCCGTAGCAGTGAAGGACTGTAGGTGTTGGGCAAACGCAATCAGGGGTTGCTTGCTTGGGTTTTCTAATACATAGCAACCCCCCAGTTTCCTTTCGTTGCATACAGCCTGGACCAAAAATGTTGATGATAAATAGTAATTAACCAGTAAAAAAATCCCTAGAATCCTGAAATCTCCCCCTGCCTTTTTTTTTAAATGCAGTTTAGTCTTTCGTTGCTAGCTGTACCTTCCTTGCTTTCCTTTAGCGGTGATCGGGAGAAGGGGTGATCTTACCCGATGGCTGGCTAAGAACAATTCGCTCCCGTCTCTTTCTTTGTTTCTGTTAATCTGGCAGTGGCAGAAAGACTCTTTTTTTTTTTTTTTTTTTTTTTAAATCTTTCATAATTGACATGAATTTTGCTGGTTCACCTCATGGTTTTAGTTTCTTAGAAACTGTGAGTCTGGCACCTCTGAATCATTTTGCTATTATCCTGCTCTGCAGTGCAATAACAGCTTTTGCTTGACACGGGAAACCTCCTGCGCTGGAAGGCTGCAGATGGAGCAGAAGAACCCCCTCTCTTTTGTTCCTTCTGCTCTACTCTAGTATTTTGCTTGCCTCTCTTACTGCACTTTTTCACCAATTTGAATGTTTCAGAGATTGTCTCTAATTAGTAAAGATCTAGGAGGTAGAATTCTGTTCTTCCTTTTTTGCCTCAAAACCCAAAAATAGTCATGTGCCCCCCCCTCGCCCTCCCAACCTTAGAGGTACTGTAATACGTCCTACTGGGACAGTAGGAAGGATCCTCTCAAACAGAAAGAAAACTAAATATAGTCTTGGTTCAAGCTTATCATAACTGGTTGAAATAAAGACTGACAGGGAATTCTGGGAATCTCTGTAATGAACGGCAGAATTAAAACATGACTGAAAAACCTTTTTACAAAAGGCAGAATCTGGTGCTTCATTAATCCATGTTCTGATAGGCTGTGCTTGATAGTAAAAATGTATTAAAAATCAGCATTTTCATCAGTCATCAGTGAATGCTGTGGTGCATGTTATTTTGATTTATATTGTTTGGCTTTGTATCCAGGTTGATTATTCTTACCAGAGAGGCTCAAAGGCCTTTTCCTCCACTACCTGCTCCTGCTGCTGAAATCCCTAACAGAGGAGAGGCTGGGGTCCTGGCTGGAGCAACCCTTCCTGCAAGGGGGAGCCACGCTGCCCCTTCTCCTCCCAGGGTGAAGGAGCCGTTGCTTTGGTGCAAAATTAAACAAAAATTTGTCTCCTCCTATCTTGGATTCATGTTGTCTGAAGTCAGGAAGTCTGCCTTTGAAGTATGAAGTCATGTACCTTTATTGTGCAGTGTAAATAATAATCTTACCGGAGTGAGAAAGTGAAAGTCAGAATGGGAATCTGAGGATGGGTCGCTTAGATCGCTGCCATCTCTATCATCTGCCGTCCTTTAAGACACAACAGCTAATTTGTGGGAGAAAGCTGCCGGTGTCTGGAGCAGGGATCTCCCATGCATCCTGTGGCATCTTTGCTTATCTTTGGAATGGAACAAGGGGGTTGAGCCTTGATTGGTCTGGAATGGACCTGGGCAGGGAGAGAAGTTGATTTAGGGAAAATCCATTCTACTTGAATCACAGCTGCTTTTATTAAGCTGTGATTTTTAGTTTAGAAGCGATGGTGCTCGACTCCGACAGAGACTTGCTGGATGCAGACCACGGAAAATTGACGTACCTTGTCTCACAAGCAGGAGGTGATCTGTAACTTTGGAAGGAAATTTCTGATAGATGCAGCAGTCGCACCCCTTGGAAGATATTTTAGTTTAACTCTCTGCAAAAGTTAACTAATGGATAAAGATTTTTCGTTGCGAGTATGTTTGGTTTACGTCGTAAGGGAAATGGTGATCTGAAGAAACTGATGCATCCTGTTTCCATGTTACAGGCACGTGATGTGCGCACCAATGAAGTGGTGGCCATCAAGAAAATGTCATATAGTGGGAAGCAGTCCAATGAGGTATGTAGAACATGCTGCTTATTAAATCTTGACTATTGCAAATACTTATTATATGGGATGATTTTAATTAGCTTGGGTGACAACAAGAGCAATCTTTCCTATAACTGTAAAGGTGAATGAGGGTACTTTGTGAACAAAAAAAAATTACTGTTCACAGTGCATTTCTGCCTAATCTGCTCCTGGAAAAGATGGGTAGGACTCATTGCTGCCAGACACAAAGGGCTCTTTTATGGGACTACATAAATGTGTAGAAAGCAAAAAAGAAAATTAAAAACGGTAGCTTTGCATGTTACTATGTCTCATTGGCCTTAAAGGGTATTTGAAATGGAATGTTTAAAATAACAATGTTGCTTACTGGACAAAGGAATAATAGCAACGGATGTGAAAGAGTCAGAGGGAATCTTGCTTGTACAAAGTAAGGCAGAATGCATCCTTCCCTGGAATGACTGCACTGATGAGGAGCTAAAACAAAAGCAAAACAGCAGTGAATGAATGAGTGTGAAAATCTGAACAGCAGCATAATTATGGAATTGCTGCCAGAGCTAGGGATTAAGGCAGCCTTTGCAGAGAGGTCTGGAAAAGTAGGCCTCTGAGATTTCAACGTTAAGTGTTTTCATGGCCACCCCAGATGTGTGTTTTTTCCCTAGGACACTTAACAGAGATAATTGATTTTATACTTGAAATGTTTTAAGTGCTAATACAGATTCTTCAAAAGCCCAGCATGACATGAACAGCTGATTTGGTATTATTTCTGGTAAACGACATCTATCAAATTGTGGCATGATTTTTTTTTCAACAGAAGGATTTATTGTAACCATGTTGTTCAAGGCATTCATGGTTCCCTCCCTCCATTCTCTGTATTCCAGTCCTAGAAACAGTCTTGCTCTGATGAGTTTGACTAACAGCTCCTTGCTTTCTGTGCCTGCCTTTTGGGTATTGATCATCTGCGCTACAAGGAGCTGAACTATTCCTTCCTTTCAGTGTGTGTGTCTATGTATCTGTGTAGGAGGTAGAGGTGGCAGTGTCTCTCCAGCAGTCCTAAATTCTAGCTTCATCGTTAAATTTGCTATGTGTGTCTCTATTTTGTCACTGCGGTGACTTGTTTAACTGTGTACTGATGAAAGAATAATTTGTACTTACTACTTGTCCCACTGTTTTAATTACTGTGAGCTATAAATACTCTATTCACATGAATGAAACAAACTGTGCATGCTTCAGAAATAGCTTTTGTTTGTCTTCAATGCATATGTTTCTTTATTTTCAAGAAAGTAATAAGACCAGGATTAAAACGCTTTCTATTTTACTTCTGTATTTATTTGTTTTGTTCAGAAGTTTGCTAGACTTATTGCTTAGCCTATGTAAAGAAAATGGATTAAGGGCATTCTGGTATCGTTTATATTTACTTTGGTTTCATAATAAGATTTTATCATTAGTGGGAACAATTATTCTCTAAAATAAGGACATATTCTAAAAATAAGTTTAAAACCTTTCAAATATGTAGTACTGTGCTCTTAATGTGATCTTGGAGCTTTTTTTTGTGCAGGAAATCATGAATACGTCTTGACTAATATATTACCTCTCTCTTCCCAGTATAGAAGTTTAGCGTGACACTTTCTTGGGTTGGCTTTTATTGCTTAGTACCTCAAAGCCTTTGAGGCTAAAGGTACAAGGCAACTCAGTCGTTCTTGTACTGGAACGTGGGCATCAGTGGGAGAGCCCATGTTGGTACAGCTGCACTAACGTCCTTCTCATGAAGTCTCTGGTGTTGAGAAGTGCTTGGTCAATAAGCTGCCTTGGTTGTGGCTGCTGTGTTCCCTCGTTTCTTTTGCTTCTCTAACTGTAAAAAATCTATTGAGGAAGATTTAGGTTTTGTACGTGTTTTCCAAAGCATTTGGGTATATGGGACCTCTGTCCATCTATGAATCCTAGGCACATATGTACACCTGAAGAAGTGTGTGCTGAGAGATGACCAGAACCTGGAAAACAGCTGTTGAACCTTTTGGTGTTGGACAGCGTTTCTCTACTTCTGATTAACTTCAGAACTGATACTCCTTCTCGAAAACATTTTCAGTGTCAGCACTGCCATGTTGACATCTGCCTACTTAAATGGTTTCAGCTACTGCATTTGTTCTTGAAAAATCTTTCCCGGTCATTGTAGTTTTGCTGTTGCACTTACAAGTTTTTGCCTTTCTTGCCAGAAGAGGTGTGGATGTGCAGCAAATGGGAGGACTTGATTTCCTCCAAGGGGAGTAATGGCAGTGTCTGGGCACACATTGGAAAACGAAATTTTTACCTCTTCCATACTTCAGAGTTGCCCTGGCAAAGCTCCCCTTATGATAAACCTGGATTTTGTTTTATCTGCTTATTCTTCCACTCCTGCAGAACCATCCCCTGATCTAATAGGTAACTCATTTTAAATCGGTCCTTGTAAAGACTAAACTGGTAATGGAGAAACATTATCAAGAAAGCAGTCAGATATTTGGTGGCTGATAAATGGAGCCTCATCCGGTGTAATACAGTTACTAGCAGGGATAGATCTTCATATCTACAAGAGTTAAGTGAGAGGCAGTGGATCCTGCCAAAGGACACTTACTGTCCACATCTCTTTCAGGTTGGGATGTGTGTTTGATTTGACAACAGGAGTGGTATCCCTTAAAGAAAGGATTGCTTTTTTTTTTTGTGGACTTTCTCAGATATTAAGTGTTTACCAGTATATCCTATGTGTACATATAAACTATTACCTTGATGAGAGATCCTTAAATGTTTTCTGTACAGCCTAATTGATCAACTTCTTGTTTTGTAGATCTGCTGAGGAGTTAAGCAGTGAACATCATGGTGTCGATGTAAATTTATTTTGATTTGGAACCTTAAAATGGTTTTGCCTCTTAAAATAATTAAATGACATACTAACTTAACAACAACCAAAAAAAAGGTAACAGTTTTATAAAGTCTTTCTATTCTTTTTATTTTCTACAGAAATGGCAGGATATTATTAAGGAAGTCAAGTTCCTCCAAAGAATAAAACACCCTAACAGTATAGAATACAAAGGCTGCTATTTGCGGGAGCATACAGCATGGGTAAGCATCTGCTGCACTCTGCACTTCTCTTGCCTTGGTTAAAGGCGCGTTAAAATACCTCCAGCCTGCTTTCAAGAGGCACCTGAACGTTTGCTGCATGGCACAGACTCAGATGAGAGTAGCCAAGGATCTGACGGATGCTCAGCAAAACTGACTATAGTTTTTGGAAACAAGATTTAGGGAAATTTTCCCTTTCGCTGGCAGAGTAGGGTGATTGTGCTGTTGTTCAAGTGTATTTAGCTTGATGGGTGAGTATTTAAAATAAATAATAATGATGGGGACACATGACACACACCCACCAAATTTATCCATCGCTTTTCTTGCTGTAAAGAAAGGTGACAATTTCACTTGTACGGACTGGAAGGCAAGTATGGCAACTGTATTAGATACTTGCAGGTCATTGAACAACACGCTTGGAATGCCACAGAGTATTAATGGTTCAGTACTTCACAGGTGGACTGAATATGTTCCAGAAGTAAGCGTTCAGTTGTATTCTAATGAAAGAGGTTAGAATCTCTACTGATAATTGTAATTAAGCTATATTTTGAGCAGCTAATATTTCTACTATTTAAATTCTTCTGTTGTATATTGTTTAATTCTGTTGTCATTTTTGTGTGTGTGAATGTAGATGACAAAACCAAGTAGCTGGTTTTCTCTGGCTGTCATCTCCTACCCGGTTTCATACATTTGATTTAAACAAACAAAAAACCCCAACCCTCCCCCCACCTCACCTTAAATTTGGTTTATTTGAGTTTGCTTGCATAAAAAGCATGTGTAGGAATAGATGCGATTGGCTATGCAGAGGAGGAATTTTGTCAAATAAAAGTATGATCTAGCACCTCTCATTGACAAAATTTTTGTAGTACGATATACTAAAGAAATCATATTGTCGAACTAATAGTTTAAATTGTAAGTACTGTTCATGTATTAGCTTCAATAAATCTGTAGGACAGAGTTTTCGTTTCTTTTTTGAAATCTGACTGGGACAAAATGTTAAGTAAATCCCTAAATAGCCCTTTAATACTGCGATAAGCTTGTTAAGTGCAATTTAACATTCCTGTTAAGTACGTGCATATAAAATAAGATACGTAATACAATACATAACTGGTTATGAATATGCTTTTGTCTTCCTTACAAGTTGTATTGGTATCTCACACAGGAAGGCTATGCTAATTCCAGTTAGAGCTGTCCTACTGGGAGGGGTCAGTGCGGCAGCGCTAGGATGGGGCTTACGTTACAAGCAGTACTTGTTTTGTTAGAGCAGTCTGCATTGTATGCAGCAGTGATTACTTCTGGATTTCTCCAGAGAAATCTAGAAAACATGCATTTACTGTTAGAGATTTTTCTAACAACTCTTTTGATTTCTTCCCGTACAGCTTGTTATGGAATATTGTTTAGGATCAGCATCAGACTTACTAGAAGGTATGTCATGCACGTTTACTTGACTGAAAGTCAGAAGTATAATACTGAAGTAGGCGGTTACAGCACCACAGAATTGTCCTTGAGTATATAGTTTCTATTTGGGGGCAGAGTGTGTGTGAACAGTCGCAGTTTTTCAAATTCTTGCATGGCTGTAATGGTTTTTCTGTAGAATATTGGCTTTCCTAGGTGCCTCGTTTCTCCTTGGTTCATAGTATTTTAAAGTTGTCAGTCAGCTATTTATTTTCTTCTGAGTTTTAGGTTCTCCTGTCATGACAGTTCAAGATTTATTTCTGAAAACCCTTGCTGTTGATCCTAAAGCTTACGAACAACTGTAGGCCTGTTGGCTAAAATAGCACTGCAGCGGTAGGAGGGTTTTGCTTGATGAGGTCTTTTGTTAAATAGTCGTTTTTCTATCAGGCTTCTTGAAGTGAACTTTCTTTGAAGATATATGTGTGGCCAGTAAGTTGTTCATCTCCTTTCCTTGCCAGAAGTGTTTCAGGACAAAAGGCTGAACTGCTGGAGAGTGATCTGTGTTGCTACAGTTTGTTTATTCATGTGCGAATTGTCGTAAAGTTCTGGGGTTTGGGATTTAGCTTCATTAATGGGAAACTGAATATTGAGTAGCTTATGGCTGCAAAGTAGTCTCCTTTTGATAGTAATAAATAGCTGCTGGTTTACAGTGAGATTATATCTGATTACAGAAGGTACTCTACACTGTGAACTTATTTTTACATTTGCTTCTCATACTGAACTGAGTAAAAATGAAGTTTTAGTGTTTTCTCTCTGTTTACATTGTTAACAGTACTCACTTGCATGCTGCAAACTGCATTGTTTTCTTTAATATTGAACTTCAAATAAATTCTTTCCTTAAGTTCATAAAAAGCCATTGCAAGAAGTGGAAATAGCAGCAATTACCCATGGTGCTCTCCAGGGATTAGCATACTTGCATTCTCACAATATGATCCATAGGTAAGTGGTTATAATTCTGTTGTCTCACACACTTACAGGTAATTTACCTTGTGATTGTATTTCCTTCATTCCAAATTTAATATTTGTAAGCAGAGATTTTCTTTTTGCAGTGTCCGTATGCTCCCGAACTAGTGATTTATAGTACTCAAATAGCGACCTCTGTATCTCCGTATGCACTGTCTCTTACAGCTGGTGTTGTAATTTCTGCAGAATTGCTTTGAATCTGCTAAGCTTTCCAATACTTGATATGATGCTGATTGTTCCCTGAAGCAGCAAATGGCCAGGCAGGCTGAGTTCACCTCAATAGCTTGTAGCAACTGCAAGGCAAAGATTGCTGGGGCGGGGGGGAAGTGCTAATACTTGAAAAATTAGTTTTACATGAACACACATGTTGAGAAGCACACATAAGTATGGGATGCAAATGCTCTTTGTGTTTGAAGTACCTGCTGTGTTTTAGTAGGATAAAGGATTTGAATCGTTACATTATTAGGGCTTATAAAGGATGTAGTTGGTTCAGAAGGTTTTTGCTGAACTCTATATGAAGCTTATCCAGGTGTGCCATTTTAAGTTGATTTTTAAGACAAACTAGAGTCCAAGATTAAGGTCCTTGTTAAGCAATTAAACTAAAGATTAAAGATTTTGTATTTGGAGGAAACATGGGTATTCTGCAGCTTGGGCATGTGAATACCAGCATATTTTGTAGTCTGTCCTGTGGAAGGTTTTTGGTTTTGGTTTTTTTTTTTTTATTGGAGAGGAATAATACTGACATTTGTATTCTATAACCAGAGATATCAAGGCAGGAAACATCCTGCTGACAGAGCCAGGACAGGTGAAACTTGCTGACTTTGGGTCTGCTTCCATAGCATCTCCTGCCAACTCATTTGTGGGGACGCCATATTGGTAAGCCAAGGGTTTTTTGCATTTCTGGCTTTGCGAAGTAAAAGGATCATTTATTGGGTATTTAATATACTTGGGCTTTATTGGAACTAGCTTTGTAATCTTCCGGTTGTGGTAGTGATAAAATGTACTTTGCAAAAAAAGATTAAATAGTAATTAGGCTCTGCCTTCATGAAATCGTGAACCCTTGTATCTGTAGTTCACAAAAAGTAATAAAAATATTTTATTATTCTACTTACCCTGATTTTAAGTGGTAGAGGTGGGATTAAATCATTTGTAATATATTTTAATCGCTCCCCCCGGTGGTTTTAACAATTCGTATGTTCTCACCGCGTCTGGTTGTTGAAATAACTGAAGTGTTTTTTCTTTCATAGGAAAGGCCAGGTTCATTGAACAAAACCCTTTGCAGATCCCTTGTATGCTTTTGATCTCTTACACCTAACCTGTGGTGTTTACACAACCGCATGCTATAACTCTTTCACCAGTCGGCCAGCCAGCTAAACTATGGAGATGTGGGAGGGCGAAAAGGTGGCGATGCTCCTAGAGAGCTGGGCAAAGCACAGGAGAACATCGCGCATCCTCTCTATAGGCTTGTGCTAGTGTGGGCGCCTGGTCTTTGTTCCCAGTATCCCATGTTTATGCCTGATAACTTGGGGAACAGTTTGTTTACGGTAGCTGAAATCAGTGAAACAGCTTGTTTCATTGAGATGATGATAATGTGTTCCATTGCACACAATTTTATGAGCACCAATTTCCTGTTTTAGGATGGCCCCAGAAGTGATTTTAGCCATGGATGAAGGGCAGTATGATGGCAAAGTAGATGTTTGGTCTCTTGGAATTACCTGTATTGAGTTAGGTAAGTTATTTTATTTGAAAAATTATAAAATGTAGTTATTTAATACCTAGAACTTATTCAGCTGAATCACAGTGCAGATCATCTACGCTTCCTTCCTTGTTCTGGTTTCTCTGGGACTTCAGTTTTAGAGAAAAGACCTAAATGTGTTCTCTAGAATTCCAGACCCAGTCTCCGATTTGATGTTTATTGAACTGGTGTTTTCATTACCTGAAGAAAAAGAGTTATATAGACAAAGAAAACAGGCAAGCTGTATAAAGGTGTTCACATTCTGTGAGAGAGGCAGTTAACTTTTGAACTGAAAAACAGTCTGTTTGCTGAACAGCTCTGGAGATGAACCATTAAAAGTACCAGTGTGAAAATGTATTTGATGATATAAGTTGATATTGTTTGCATGAAAGTTTAAGATGCATTAACAAGTCCTGCAATAATGAAGTTTTGGATACATGGACAGCTTCAAAGCTATATTCAGTGTATGTTGTCACTTGTGAATAGATTTGGCTGGAAAATATCTCTCTCCCCCCCTTTTCCTTTCTCTCTTTTTTTTTTTCAAAGAAAAAGATACAGAATAGTTGAGTTTTGAAGCGGTAACCTATAAATCAACCCCAAAAAAATTATGGCACTGCCATTACAACAGACTCCTTAAAGCAGAACGTCAATTTAAAAGGACTGTGTTTGTACCGCATTCTATTTAAATTTAATGTGTAGTATTTTCTTGGAACAAAAATACACTTGCTGCAGCACACCACCGTGCTCAGCACTACTCAGGTTTAGTCAGGATCCAGCTCTCTAGAAGCACTTAGCTGTAAGTTTTTCTTGGGATGGTGAGGTTCAGTGCTGTTCATGGCACCTGAGGCTGTCCTACCATCCTTGTCAGATCTCATTGCTCGTGCTCCAAACCGACCTCGGTGGAGGAGCAGCCCAGCCAGGCAGCGAGAGCTCTCAGGAACACGCTAATCCATATGAACTGCATAGTTTAGCTAAAAATGCTGTCTGGCATTCCAAACTGTCAACTTCATTTTCTTCCAGGACGCGAAATAGATTCTTTCTTCAGAGCAGAGATTTTGTTGGTTGCCAATATAAAAGCAAGTTGAAGGGGTGTGACTGTCATGACAGAATCCTGCTCCGAGTGGAGTAAGGAGACTTGGCTGGCTGCAGCGCTCCAGGAATGCAGTGAGCTCATGGCCACCACACCCCCGGGTGCCTTCCTGCACGCTGCCTTTTTGCAATATGAAGCGTTAGGCTTCGTCTATGGCTTCTGGTGTGGTGGGAGGTGAGACTAGGTCAGGATGGTAGAGCATTGTAGGCTGGGTTGGTGTAGTTATCTCATTTGTGTTGGTTTGAATGAGCATGGGAAGAAGGTAGAAAATGAGACATCAAGTAGTCTTCTCAAACCATTACTTAGGCTTAGGGATGGCCTCATTGAGGGCTCGGTTTCAGTGTTTCCTAAGGATTTTTATTTTATTCAGGTGAGTTAAGAGAAAAAAAGAGAGAATAGTCAGTTAAAATAGTTTAAGGGGTCAGTTAAAATAGTTTAATGGATAATCAGACTGATCCTCGATAACGGCAACTGGTTATCTGACAGATTAGAGAAGGTTAAGTGCTACATTTGAGGAAAGGCTTAACTCCTCGATTTATCCTTTCTGAGGAATTTGTAGGACTTAGTCCGTCCTCTGATAGCAATGAGTGAACAGTGATCTCTGATACATAGCTTGCTGCTACTATTCAACTCAAAATTAAAAAGCAGAATAAGAAAACTAGCATTATTTTTTCCTTGTTTGTTTTTTTTCAGAACAGAAAGTTTTCTGTTACATTTTCACTGGTGTAGGAACGTCCTCATGGCCTGACCAGCTTCTCTGGAATGTTTATGGCGAGGCTGAGCTTCATAGGTTTACCCCATAAACATTCTGATGAAGCTTCAATTTTGTTGTTACAGTGAGATCATCTCCTTCCTCATTAAGCTTTCATGCTGTGTCAGTCTATAAGAGTAACACAAGCCTGAAAGGGAGAGAAGAGCCAAAGAGAATGCAACTCTCAAAATAGTATAAAGAGTTGGCCTGTTACACGTGCTTAGTCAGTTTAGTGTGATTTGATGGTTCTTGTAACCGACTTTTTCTTCATCACTGCTGTCCTGCTAGAATTAAATATTTATTAGATTTTTAGCAACCGTACCTTAAAAAAAATGGGGGGCGGAGTATGAGACCAAGAATGGTTAGTGGCTGAACACCGAGTATAGAGCTTACTGTTAACTTACTCCTATTTTAGTACATTAAAATGAGTCAGAGAACTCAACTATGATAAACCACGTAATTGAAAAGCTTGAGAGAACAAGGCATTTGATCTTCAAAGTGCTTTCATCTTCTGCAATGGTATAGGACATATGCCAACATATCTCTCTGATTGCAGGGTAGGGTTGGTTTGGGGTTCCGTGTTCGGGCAATAGTGATTCTGCTGATGTGGTTTTCTTTTTAAAGGGATGTAAACTAAAAAAGAACAAAAAAACATGAGACTATCTCCCTATATAAAAATTATTTTCTTTTGTGTGCAGCGGAAAGGAAGCCTCCTTTGTTTAATATGAACGCAATGAGTGCCTTATATCACATAGCGCAGAATGAATCCCCTACACTACAGTCTAATGAATGGTGAGTATTACTGAGGGAGGAATGTTGTAGGGCATTGCTGTAAATGGAGTGCTTTGTCATGCTGAGTTCTTGAAATGGCTGGATTCCTGTTGGGAGGTTGTGAGCTGGAAGGTTCTTACTAGGTTTGCTATACATTCTATATACAAAATTGACCCATTACTAAATATGCATTTTAGACTCTAGAATGTAGTAGAAACAGGACATGCTGCTGGGAGAACATAAGATCCTGTAAAAAAATTCAGTTCGTGGGTCAGTAAACTTTAGAAGCTCCCAGGCTAGCCAAAAATGTGGTTTTTAGTGTTTTTTAATCACAAACCACACTGTCATTTCTTAAATCTTGTTTTGTTGAAGTGTTGCTTTGCAAGATGAAGACACTGCTTGTGTGCGGCAAGTGTCTGTTGCATAAACTTGGGAAGAATAAAGCACAGTAGTAACATTTTGTGCCTCCCAGCCTCAACAACCGTCTTCTGAAACGGCAAACACAGTAAACTAATTTCAAAAGTGAAAAAATTGCTAATCATGTTTTTTGGAGCCATAGTCCTCGGCTTCTAGCAAAATACATTGTGCCATATCTTTGTAACTTTTTTTTTTACTTTTGAGATTTTCTGGTTAGGCTATTTCACACCCTGGTGCTTGACAAAACATTCAACTAATTTTATGCATTTTTCTGGCAAAAAAATGCAATAATTTAATATACTGAAAAACCGCAGTAACCAAAACCCCCATTACATGATGGGAGGGGGGGAGCAGTGGGGGAAGAAAAATAAAACCTGTACAACTGATATGCTGCTGCTTTTGGGGTATCATCGTACCCTTCTGAAAAGCTGTGTTCAGAGAAAGAAAGGGCAAAATTCAGAATTTTAGCTTATGGAGGGAGAGGTGTTACTAAACAAATACTGCCCTTGTCTTCCTTGTGACAGATTGCCCACCAGGGCAGAAGTTGTGTCTGAGGGGCCAAAGTGCGTAAATACAGTTTGCAGATGAAACACCTGGGCACAGGGGTGAAACAGGGCAGGGGCTCCGATTAGACCTTGAAGAGTTTGTGCAATACAGAATTTGACAGGATTGATGCTTGCATCAAGATATGTGGGTGTCTGCCTTTATACAGAAACTCCCTTCCTCTCGAATTGCCCCGTAGTTTTGCATTCTTAAGCTGAAACATTTTGGCTGGAAGCAGAGCTTAAAGGGATCTCCCTACCAGTAGCGGTGGGCTTTGGCTTGACTAGGGACATCAGGGGCTGTAGTATGAACTGCTGGGGTTGTGTGGTTTCTCCCCACTCTTTCTACTAGCAGTGTCCAAATGTGAATGTCTTGATTCCTTAATGAGCTTTGAAAATTAGACTGGGTAGTTAACTCACATGTTGGTTTGGTTTTTTTCTCTTTCCTTGCCACAGGTCTGATTATTTTCGAAACTTCGTAGATTCTTGTCTCCAGAAAATTCCTCAAGACAGGCCTACATCAGAGGAGCTTCTGAAGGTTGGCTTGTTTGTCCTTTCTGTTTTCCACATGGTATTAAAAAGGGGCCGTGCCCTGTGACATGCTTCTGTCTCACCTACCGTACGAGGTTACGGTTAACGACGTGCTCTCTGCCCATTACCCCTAACACCTTTGAGCTGAGGGTGCTGTGGAGTGTACTGAGCTGGTGGTCCTGGCTTTAGTGCCCCTTTGCAGTGTCTCAGGTTCTGAGTGATTGCTCGGTTCCCCGAGCAATGCTCCAGTTCCCTGAGTGATGCTCCAAGCCAGCCTTGTCCTCCTCATGAAAGGACACCACAGCAAGTGACACTGGATGACCATCAACTTGTCGAGAGTTTCAGTTTCTTAAGCTATCAGTCTATCCTTCCAGTGATTATAATTAATCCTGACAGAGCTGCCATGCGTTAGTTAACAAATACCTTTTGTTACTCCCCTCTTTATTCTATGCTATATATACCCCTAAAGGCTTTTTATCCTCTCCCATCACCTGTGCGCTTTAGTAGAACTGAAATTCATTGTTCTAATGGTATCCCTGGGGGAAGGGGGCAGAGGAAAGCAGTGTTTCTTCCCCATACTTTTCCTTGACACGAATAAGCCTCAGCCATCTGCAGGTTTTCTCCTGCTTTAATATTAGCCTTTTTTTTTTAATTCATTTATGCTCCTGTATGCTGCAGATACTTGATTTTTGTTGCTCTAGTCTGGCAACAAAGCCAATGTGGTAAATTGTTGCAAAAAGCTGACGTGTTCCTAAGTGAACGCAACTTGCACAGAAGTTAGGTGTTAGAGCTGCTTTATTCAAAGTGTGACTTTGATGGATTTCCTTGGTGGCATCAGGTGGCACTCAGAATTTTGCTAACTTGTCATTCTCTTTGCAGTGCTCGTGACATTATTTTTGGGGATTTTTATCCCAGCCATGTTTCTGCTAAACAGCGGTTTTCCAAAATTTTGCATTGCAGGGAAATGGATGCTATTTATGAAGGTTTTATCATCACCTTTTTGCATGTTTTTACTTAAATGGTTCTGGGGACTTTTGCCTCTTTAAAAACCAAGTGTTCAGAAAGTAAATGCAATTATCCAGTAAAGGTTTCGGTGTGGGTGTGTAGTCCTGCCATTTCAGAATTCTGCAGATTGGTTTTATTTTGAGCAATGCACTGCAATTAAAGAGAACATTGATGGAAATTAAACGTTTGTGAATGTATTCCTTCCATATCTATAGTCTGAAACAGCTGCATGCCACTTTACAGGGACAGGTAGGGAATGTGACATGTTGGAAATGGCAATGCAGCTCTCCAAAGGAACAAAATGAAACTAGCGGTGGTGTTAATAATGACTCATGCTTGCACAGCACATTTCATCTGGAGACTGCAAAAGCTGCTTCTGACATACATAGACAGGACTTGTTCTACCTATTGGAAAATGTAGCTACCTTTGCAGTGAAATGCAGTGAGTATTTAAAAAAAAAAAAAGAGCATAACATGGCTAACTGTTCTAGGGCTGGGCTTGGACGCTCACAGCCTATTTTAGGACTCAGAGCTGTATACCGAATATTTGATTCTCAAGCTTTGCTAAACAAGGAGAAGGGTTTTATTGTGAGAGTTAGCTGATGAGTTAATTAGCATTTGGTTAGAGATACTTAACCAGTCTAACACCTTTAGCATTTATGTTATTTGTTGCTCTTCCCCCTCTAAACCACAAGTAGATAATGTCTCTAAATACCCCAGCATCCAAAGAAGTCTAGGTTTAAATTGAGCCCATTTTCATGGTATGTGAAATACCATTTCTTGGGTTTTTTACATCTTTACTTTTTGGTGGACATCTCCCATCAGAAAGCAATCATTCTGAAATCTGTCTGGATCATGAAGTCTCAGAATAGTGTCAGTGTAAGCTGTGAAGATACTCTGCTTCTGTGCAGGGAAGAGCACTAGCAAACCCAGCTAGAGCTCATAATTTTATTCTCAAAGCATGTGTGCTGGAGGCGTTAGAGGTCATTCACCTATTTGTGTGTTCTACAGCACATGTTTGTTCTTCGGGAGCGGCCCGAAACAGTGTTAATAGACTTGATTCAGAGAACAAAGGATGCAGTGAGAGAACTGGACAACCTGCAGTATCGTAAAATGAAGAAGCTCCTCTTCCAGGAGGCGCACAATGGCCCTGCAGTTGAAACACAGGAGGAGGAGGAGGTGAGAGAAACTTTGGATTTCATCACTGAACCAGAAAATGATGCTGTCATTTAAATGACCACAACTCAGATATTGCTAAAAGGAATGGAGGCTGTTTACACACCTGGCTGTAAACTCTGTCTTCTCTCTATGCTTGGAATAAAGCTACCTCAAGGCACAAACAAGGACAAATAGGGTAGATGCCTAGTGCTGGCAAGAAGCTGTGCCATGTGTTCATGCTTGAACAGTTAGCTTCCAGTTCTGTAAATCCTAGCTTTCTTTGCTTGTTCATAAGGCTTCATGAGGACTCTTTCAGAAACTGCAGCTAACCTCTATTTTAACCATATGTACAAGGCCCTTGACAGTCTCCTAGTTTTGTCTGGAGAATGTTGTTCTGAGTCGTAAGACATAGATATTTGTACTTGGTTTTAAAAAGAAAACAAAAAGTCGTCAGGGAAATTTGTCTTCTTTGAGTTGCATGCTGCTGTCACCATGCAGAGATTGAGACTCTCTGGATTGCAGTTCTCACGTACAGAAAGGAACCGTGTGAGGTGCAGGGTTGCAGCTGAGCCCTTAGATGATGCTGGTGTCAGAACAGTTTCTGGTGACACGCTGTTGCTGATACATGATAGAGCTCAGCTTGTTAACAGGCTCACTGTTGAAAAGAATCTGACATCAGCCAGTTAATCTTGACAAGGTTGATTCTTTCTCTCCCCAGCATCCCACAAGAGAAATGTTTCATGGCAATGCCTGGAGGGTGGGAACTGCCATGACGTGGCAGGTAGATGCCTTTAGAAAGGAATGGAATGAACATTTCATTTGGTAATGCCCATAGGTACAGCTGTGATGGATTTGGATTTTCTTAATAATTCCTTTCTCCTAGGAACAAGATCATGGTGTCGGCAGGACAGGAACAGTGAACAGTGTCGGAAGTAATCAGTCCATTCCTAGTATGTCTATCAGTGCCAGTAGCCAAAGCAGTAGTGTTAACAGTCTTCCAGATGCCTCGGATGATAAGAGCGAGCTGGATATGATGGAGGGGGACCACACCGTGATGTCAAATAGCTCTGTCATTCATTTAAAGCCGGTAAGCATTGGATATTTACTGGATAACTTTGAAGGTGTAAAATGGGAGAGGATTTGCTTGGCATGATGACAAAAAGGTCAGTGCTTCCCATCTATCCTAAATCATTATCTGCAGGTTCTAATATTGCCTCCCAATATATTAATGTACACTGAAGTTCTGGAAGTTTGCTGTAAAAAATGTTTATTTCTGTTGATTCACTCAAAAATAATTTGCCAATTGCATTGTTTCAAAACCAGTTTACTGTGAGGAGTTGGAATGGCAGCTTGCAAATAGGTTTATTTAGTGGGTGCCCTAAACTTGCAGAGCTCCATGGGGCAAAAGGATGTGGGAGCTCCCCCTCTTTGCCTCTTAGTTAATGAATTTGTAGACCTAAGACCCTCAGCGGTGATTGAAATCTGTTCCTGAAGCACCAAGCTTCCCAGCACTTGATTTGAATAATTGGTTAATGAACAAAGATGCACAGAAGAAGGAGCACAGCGCTCTGGCCGTGGCAAGCTTTGAGACCACTTCTGCTGCTTTATCTCTGCACGATGAAGGATAAACTGGGGAGCGTCCCTCTGAACCATGCTGCTCTTGCTAAGGAGGGCTTATCACACCTTTTCTCAAACCAGTAACGTTTCCCTAGCTAATGATAGGTGTGGTTAGAATGTTTTGTTCTTTGCCCAGATACGCAACAAAGATGCAGGTATTTCCTCGGGGAGTTAATTAGGATATCATATCTAACTACTGATCGCTCTGTGATGAATGACAAACTCAAAATAAGAATGTGGAATACACCATGACAAATTCTAAAATTTGCTTTGAGGTATTTCTGTAGTGGGTGTAATGAAAATCTTCATCTGTCTTTCAGGGTTACAAAGATGTTGGTTTTTTTCCTTCAGACTTGATATAATCTACTTTATAGCTTTTATGTTTTGTCGAAGTAAACTGTTTAACTCCATTTTCAGTTTTCCATTTATTTTTCTCATTTTCAGCTTTAATTAGTAATTTTCCTCCTAGTAATAAAAATGCGCAATGAAATTTCCAAAAGCAAGGATCCTAGAGCAGAGCTTTTGTTGCAGGATATTCCTTCACCCGACTTACTGGCAGGAGGAGCTTTCAGGGCTGCTGAATGTAAAATGGTTTTTCTTCCTTTTAAATGTCTTTTCAACCAGACCAAAATAAAACTCTCTAGTAACACAGATTCTCTTTATTCTTTCACGTTAATATTTGCTGATAAGGAGGAAGAAAACTACAGAGAGGAATCAGATCCTCGAACAAGGGCATCAGAACCCCAGTCTCCTCCCCAAGTATCTCGCCACAAGTCTCATTATCGCAACCGAGAGCACTTTGCTACTATACGCACAGCGTCGCTGGTACGTTAAGGGTTTTATTTTGATGAAGTTGTATAGGGAGAGGTGCCTTTGAACGCAGGGCTATGAAACTACTTAGGGCTGTTAGGATTTCATCAGAATATGAGCTATCCTCGTTGACTGAGATATTATCACTGAAATAGTTTAACATAAGTTAATACACGCTTAAATGCGACACCTGGGCAAATGTAATTTGTGTATATTAGATATTTTCAAAACCAATATGCCTAGCAGGATGCAGGAAACTGTTTATAATAATAAGCTGGCTTTTATTTTCATAGGCCTATTATGTGTATTTGTGTGTATGTGCATATATATGCACACTCATTGCAGTGGGCTAAAAAGACGTTATTTAGTACCAGCTTTATGACAATTGTACAGTTCTTCTGCTGGAGCCTGTGTGAGCTTATCTTCTACGGCAGAATTCAGTTTTTAATTGCTCTGATGCCATTAGGATGTGTGCTTTTCTTTACAACAAAATCATATTTCTTTACTGAACAGTTTCTTTTGTGGTTTGAAGACTGCTGAAAAGCAGATTAAGAAACATTAACTTATTCTGGCCCAATGTGGTTACCTTCCTAGGTGACAAGGCAAATGCAGGAACATGAACAAGACTCTGAACTCCGAGAGCAGATGTCTGGCTATAAACGTATGAGACGGCAACACCAGAAGCAACTGATGGCATTAGAGAATAAACTGAAGGCAGAGATGGACGAGCATCGCCTCAGGTTGGACAAAGATCTTGAAACACAGCGTAACAATTTTGCCGCAGAAATGGAAAAGCTAATTAAAAAGCACCAAGCAGCCATGGAAAAAGAGGTAGGAGATTACAGCTTAGCAGACCAGTCTATATTTGTTAATTACATTGAATTGTCCACTTCCCCTCACTGATGAAGAGATGACTTCGTCGTCTCTTCCATGTCTGTTTTCAGGAGCCAAGCAAATTGCTAATTAGAAAAACGCTAATACCTCACCTCCTTACACTAAAGGCTTTATGTAACTAGAGGAAAGGTATGTCCTTCATCACAGGGCGATATACTAAATGTTAGTAGAGTGACCCCAGAAAAAATACTGTAAGGGTTTTCCTTTCTTTTGCCATGTATATGCTGTCAATAACTGGCTGCCATCAAGCGTTATGGAGGCAGATTAGCCTGCAGAGAAATGTGCCAGCTACGCTTAAGTGTTCACCATGTAGTTGCTTATGGATATGGGGGAGTTTATGCTTTTAAATAATTGATAATGAAGCGGTGCCGCCTACAGCGATTACTATTGATTCTTTGTTCATCTTGGATCTCTCAGTGGAGGGCTAAGGATATAGTTTATCATAAGGTGTTGACTTTGTTAGACAAGACTAGCTGAACAATAGGGCTGAGGAAATGAGGCACTGAAAGAGGATTCCTGC